TTGGAGGAAGGCAAAAGAGGGGCTTTGGGTAGGGCCGAGCAGGCGCTCTGGAAGGAGAGTGTGGGGCCCTGGGCCCAGGGAGTGAGGCAGGACAGACAGGTGCCGGGGACATCCCAGCTGCTTCCAGGGAACTGGGCGGCAAGGGCAAGGGAGGCTGGTGCCCAGGGCCTGAGAGGAGCAGCCAGGATGAAGGGCCCGCAGGAAGGGCCTGGCAGGTTAATACGAGGCAGCTGGCTCTCCAAGGAGGCTCTTGATGCCAAGATCCATGGGAGGTGGGGGGTGCGTCACTTCTTGGGAGAGCGCAGCCAGACACCTGGAAGGCTGGGTGGGACTCGCTCGCTGAGGCCTGAGGCGGGCAGAAGAGGAATGGTGGGGGAGGAAGCACACAGGCAGTGGGAGGAACAGTGACTGAGGTCAGGGGAAGCCCAGAAAACCCAGAGATCATTCGGGAAGGTCCCTGAGAAGCAGAGAGGGTGTTTTCTCGGCTCCTAACTTGAGGGGTGGCTGTTGGGACATGCCCAACATCGATCTGCTTCTTGAAAATGGCGGCCGAGCACATCCTCAAGATTCGGAGGGATCTGCCAGTTATCAGGGGTCATCAAGGTCAAGACCGAGACACAGAGCCAGGAGACAGATGTGACGTGGGAGCAGGGGCCGCTGGTGCAAGGACAGGGACCAAACAAGCAGCTCCTTACCATCTTGTCAGCCAGAGAGCACCTTCGAGCAGATGTGGAGAAGCCTGGAGCGGGAGGATCTGGGGACCAGATGGCCCTGCGTGGGGGGGACCCAGCACTCACAATCTGTACAGGGCACAGGCCCCAACACCGGCAACAGTGGGACGCCTGGCGTGCGTCTGTTTTCACATGTGGGAGGAGGACATATTCTGGTCTCTGGACTGGTTCTCCTGACAGGAGCCCGTACATCCACCGTCCAAGCCCACTGCCACTGAGTCGACTCCAGTTCACAGAGGCCTTAGAGCAGGGGTTCTCGACCTTCCTCACGCCGCGACCCTTTCATACAGGTCCTCATGTGGTGGTGACCCCCAACCATAACACTATTTTTGTTGCTACTTCATCCCTGTCATTTTGCCACTGTTATCAATCGGGTGACCCCTGTGAAAGGGTCCTTCCACCTACAAAGGGGTCACGACCCACAGGTTGAGAACCGCTGCCCTAGAGGCAGAGTAGAGCTGCCCCTTTGGGTCGCTGAGACTGTCCATCGTTTCGGAAGCAGAAAGCTGCCTCCTACTCCCGAGAGGGCCATGAAACCCATGACCAGCTACGGCTAGATGTGAGCACTGAAGCCCATGGGCAGGACGGGGGGACACGCATCCTCAGGATAAAGAGCAACCCCTGACTTCCTTTGCCACGTTGACAGGATCTAGTCTTCTAGTGGGGGGTTGTCACCTGGCACGTGGCAATCTGTCATGACAGCTGCGTGGAGGAGACAAAGGCATGTGGGTTGGCTAGTCACCACATCACCACCTGGCTTTTGTGGTCGTCTTCCACTGACAGCTCCTTCAGCTCCAACCCACTCCTCCTCACCACTAAGCTCACCTCCTCTCACACCTACACCCCCACCCTCCACCCCCGCTCAGCCCACTGCAACTGCAGCCGGCCTCGCCCCTGCTTCTGCCAGCCTCAGACAGTCCTCCATGAGGCCTGTCCCCAAAGCATCTCTTTGGGCCTCATCTAGAACCCCGGAGTGACTTTTTCAGGGGCATCACAGAGCCCTATGCCTTTACCTTTTATTAACATGAGAAACTAGAACATGTGGGTGGTTTAAAAATCCAACCAGCCCACAAAGAATCCAGTTGTCCCAGAGCCCTGGCACCTGTCTAGAGGTGGCCCTGCTAACAAGGTGTGGCCTCCTGCCCGAGTTCACCTGCGTACAAGCTAGAGTCCTGTTGACTAGTCTTCCCTGCAAATGGGTGCAGACATCGGGCTGGCTTGAGCTTTGTCGTCTTCTCCTCTATGTCCCGATGCTCCGATTCCGGCCCTTTGAGGAAGGTCCTACCAAGCGTCTGTCTGGAGTCTGGCCCCACCAGCATCGCCTTCCCCGGATTGAACCTGATTGGAGGTCCTCCAGGTCCACTTTTTACCTTGCTCTGAATTGTTTCCCTAAGCCACCCCATCTGCTCCCAAAGCTTTGAAGGCCCCCTAAAATGTGGACGACCCCCCCCAGGACCTCTCACTTGGAGTCTTCCTGTCAACTACTTCCAGGTTAGTTGACAGCATGAAAAGTCCCCTCTCTTCCTCCAGCTCCATCTGCTTGGCATGCCCGCCATGTCTGATCTGGCTTCTGTCCTGAGCAGCCCACACCTGCCCATCCACCGGCCAGTTCTCACACCGTGCCTATGACCACATCACATTCCTCTGGAAACCCTGTATTGTGGGAAACAACGATTTCTCCCAAGTTGTCTCACCCAAATATATCCCAAACTTAGCTGCTTGCTACACGTGGCAAATGACTATACACTTGGAGGTCAACAGAAGTAGGTCAGGGGTTATTCTCCCTAAGGGTTTTCAGCCATCCAGAGCAAGTAGACACCACTGTTTATCCCACAAGTAGGGCCCATTCCCTTCTGATAAGGATAGTAGTAGATTGTTTCCCTGAAGGAGAGCCCAGGTAGGTCAAGCCCACTCAAAGGTGACCAAGGTTAGGCCGCCATCATGAATCTAGGGTCCGCCCTTCTTGTCACATGTATACCTCTAGTTCCATCCTTTCCTGACCCCTAGCTCATCCCCCTCCTATTGCTTGTATTGCCTATTGTGCAGCCCCTTCCTGTGACGTGTGATTACCTGTAATCACGCCTCCTAAGTAGATATAAGCCTTGCTTAGCAAAAAATGGGGTCTCTGGCCCACCTCGCCTCGCTTCCCTGCCCTCGGAGGCCCATGCTGTGCATGGACCTGGCTGGTAAGATCATGGCCATTCAGGTGAGCATGCTACCATGAAACGTGCCTGACTCCATTATTTCTATTTCTCCTCTATTTTTCATGCTATGACTTTATTATAATCTTTATATATATTTTAACTGTACTATTGCGCCTATCGAACCCACGGTTAGTTGTGGGGGGGTGGCCTTTCCCCCACACTGTATGAGCTTCCTGCTGCGATTAAGGGTCAAGTTCAAAATCTGCACTCTGCCCCTGTAGTAGAGCCTGGTAGTACAGTGACTTACCCACTGCTCTGCTAACCACAGGGCTGGCAGTTTGAAACCACTAGCATTCCAAGGGAGAGTGATGCGGCTTTTTATTCCCTTGAAGAGTTAGCGTCAGAAACCCACAGGGGCTGTTCTACTGTCCTCCAGGGTCGCTGTGACCGACCGGCTAGCAGTGAGTTTGGTCAGGTGTGGCTCTCCAAGCCCACCTCTCACCCTCAGGAGCTTCACCCCACTTGCCCCACCAGCTCAGTCCTGCCTCCTGCTGTACCTGACACCTCCCTGCAGCATCCTTCCGAGCTCCCTCCCCCCCCCCCCCCCCCGCCCCCCCCCCCCCCCCCCCCCCCCGCAGGCAGCTGGATCCCAGCCATAGTTAGCTCTCCTGAGGGGGGACCATGGCTGCCCTGCTCGCGACCAAGTATGCCTCAGTTCTGAGCAACACTGGCAGGAAAAGCTGGTCAGCACAGCCAGCTGGGGCAAGTGAGAGATCCGTGGCTCTCTGCATGTTCAATAGGTCCTGGCCTGGACGGCTGTGCCCCCGGGGTTCAAAGGTCAGCAGGGCTGTGGAGAACTTGGACTCCAGAGCCCAGCTGTCTGGGGTCGAGCCCAAGTTCTTACAGTGTATTTGCGCCGTGTCTCACCTTGCTCATTTGTAAGATGAGACTAAAATAGCACCCTAATCGGAGAAGACAGAACCTAATCTTTGAAGGATGACAGGAAAAGAGTGCGTGATGTGCTCAGTGTGGGTGGTCCAGGCTGGGGCACAGCTCACACCGAGCGTTGGGATGCAAAGCCGTCCTGTGGCACTGCAGAAGAAAGGCCTGGAGACCTCTCAGTGGACTTGGGCCGAGGAACCCTTTGGAGCAGTTCTACTGTGTAACTGTGGCATCTCTCCAGGTGGGAACTGAGGCAGTCGTCTATGGGTAGCGAGGGGCTCCTGAGCACTTTCAGTGCAGCTCCTAAGCCCCTTGGCCACGGCACAGCCCACTACCGGGACAACGCAGAACAACTTAAAGGACAGGGCAGTCATCGCCAAGGCAAGTGAAGTGGGAGAGCCTGTTTTGCCTGCTGCGCGTGTGTACCAGACTCGGAAGAGAATGGACTGCAGAAACCTCTGGAAGTCGCTCTGGGCAGAGGCAGGGCTTAACCAGGGGAGAGGTGCTACCTGGGATTCCAGCCTCTTCGGGATGATCGGAAAACCCAGAGGGAAGAGCTGTTTTCTTTTCCAGGTTTTTCAGCAGCTCACACACAAAAACCTTAGGTTGTTTCCCCCGAGCTTCCAGTTAAACAAGGAGGTCGCAGCGTAGAGACCAGGCGCACTGGGCCGTGGCGTGGGAGCCAGGGCACTTTCGATTTTGCATCTTCTCCCTTCTCCCCTGACTCTACATTGGCACCCCACTTCCCCTTTCCGGCTGGATACTCACAGGGAGCCTTCTACTGAAACAAACGTTCAGGCCCTGAGACTCGGGTCTCCAACCTGTGGCGGCCTGTGACCATCAGGCCGGGTCCTCTGGAGGGGCAGCTGGGTCTCTCTCACCCACTCCGGCTGCTCGCTCTGTGTTGGGAGGCTGGCTGCCTCCTGCAGACCCCTGTACGGGGAGGCAGCTTTCTGGTCAAATGTGTCCAAGGAATCTTTCAGAAAAGGCCCCGTGTCAGTGATTTCCATAAGGACCGCAATGAAAACGGCGCCCTCTGCAGGATGGAGATTCTAGAAGTGGAGCTGAGAATGGGCCAGGAGCCCCCCACCCCTGCACGCAGCTCTCCCCAAGGGGAACAGCCTTGTCTGCTGACGAAGGGGGCCTGTCTCGCTGCTCAAACAGACGGCACCCAACACACAGGTTCTATACAAGCCATTTATTTGAAATGCCAACTAGATGGAGGATCAAGTCAGTGTTACATGCTTATCAGTAACAGTAGAAAAATAGAACCAGTGAAAACCTGTCCCACTGTCCTGGTGCTCAAAAGAGAAATGTCTCGTTTGACAACGCTCCCCACAGACGAGTTCAAGTTTGGAGGTACCTAAATAAAAATACGATCTATTTCTTTAAAAAACACTATGTACAATTGAAGCGTAAACAAGTTTTACAAAGTACTGGTTATGCAGGTTGTAGAAAACACTTGCATAGGACATGAAATCGGTGTAAGAAAAATTGCTGAGCCTTTAGCATTGAAGGCACTTGACTTTATACCAGTAACAGCACAACCACGAGATGCAGTGCTGTGGCGGGACCACCGGGCTGCGGGGCAGACGTGCTGAACATAGCATGGGGGCGCTAGGGACCCCAGCCTTCCAGCCCCTCGCCCGGGCAGGGTTCTGTGCCACCTGCCCACGCAGCCCAGAGGCCCACACAGAGCATCCAGAGCCCTCTGACCACTTTGAAAAAACACGCACACACACACAGAGGGTATGTTCCAGACATGCGCTTGGAAAGACCCTCCTACAGAAAGGGCCACACGATCACAGGATGCAGAATATGGGAGGTGGGCACACAATCTCAGGGCTTTCAGGAGGGAAAAGGAAAAGGGATCCACGACCTGCCAACGAGGCCATTACAAAACAGCCACTGCAAGCTGAGGGACTTCGGAAGGGCACATTTGGGAAACACCGTTCCTGGATGGAGAAGGGAGGGCGCCTTCTAGCAGGGCGTGCGGCCATCCGTTTGGCAAGGTGATCGGTGACGTGGGTTGAGAGGAAAGGACTGTGGACAGAGGAAACGGCTGCAGAACTGGGACTAGCACCCATTGCTGCTGTGCTAACTAAAGAAAGCTGAAAGTCAATCCAATACGTTTTAAAAAGGCAAACAACAAGCCTTTCCCTTTGCATTCAGTCCCAAGATGAAAAACATGAATGCTGCAAAGGTGCAGAGTGTACCCTGCAAGCATTTCACGGAGGCCTCCTCCCACCCAAGGTCAATTAAACATCAGGAGGAGACCCGCCTGGCCTAAGCTGGCCCTGCTCTCTGCGGCCAGGCTGTGTTGTCTCCTGTCAGTACTTCTACAGCACACCCCAAGACTGGCGCCAGGCAGCCAGGCACGGTTTTTCCAGAAACGCACGCTGAGGTTAGGAAATGGCTCAGCGAGAGCAGACAGAGACCCAGAGCTCTCAGCACCGGTCATCCCAACCAACTGTACTGAGAGGTCAGGCTAGCTGAGGTCAGGGGGTAGGCGCCCAGAAGCCACCCAAAGGGGCATGTGAGGTGGGGGGGCTACATGGAACATTTTAACCACACTTCAGCAATTTTCACCAGGAGACAATTTAAGCTGGTCAACACAATCGTACAACTACAACGGAAACGTAAGCAAACCACCAGCCGGCCTCTTTAGGAAACTGGAGTCTCTCCCCGCCTGGGATCCACGGGACAGTTCCTGAACCTCCCTCCACACTGGCCGGGCGAGAGTGGTGATTGTCGGAGCGGCCTGATTGTTGGGTGGGCTCAACGGGAGATGGGGCATCTCTGTGACTGGGTTCTCATTCCATTTCCACACCAGGTCCTGTGGCCTGGCTGCTGCTTCCCGCGCCAACAGCTGCATTCTGAGCGCAAGCGCGCTGAGACACATCGACCTTAGCAGGAGGAGGGTGTGACCGACTGAGGGGTCCAAAAGCCAGAGGCACGTCACCATTCAGCTCACCCTCTAAAGACCATTCACTCCACAGCTGCAGCCACAAGTCCACGAGCACCCAGTTTACCACCCAGAGGACACCTGTTCACCTGCTAGCCACAGAGTAGCCACATGCACCACTAAACTCTTAAATGCAAATGTCACAAATTAACTCACATTATGGACAAGGACCCTTGTTTTTCATAACTATACTGTAGGAACATAAAAGAGTATTGAATGAGTTCTTAGGCCCAGGATGTGTGGGGTCAATAGCTCTGGTCTAACACTAAATAAACCAGGTCATGTTAAAAAAACAAAACAAACTACCAACAAACATAATTCATGTCCACAAAGGGCTAGGGTGGGGGATTGACAACTGCCTGTGAGAACAGATAGAAACAGAGCTTCCAAAGACACGGCTAGACCACCCCCCCACCCCCACCCCCATGAAAACAGAGCCCGGTGTTTCCTCTCTTCACAGAAGGGGTCGGATCACCTGCATCAATGAATGTGCCGGTCGCAGTGGACAGCTGGCCACTGTGGTTCCACCTTTGAGACTGCCGAATGTTTGGATTTCTTAAACCGTCCGATTATTCCTGAGTGTATATCCACAGGGTCAAGTAGGAAGAGATTGTTAAGAAACTAGTTTTGGGAGAAATTAGAGTTGTTGACACCCAATAGAAACCCACTTACTGAAAAGTGCATGTAATTCGTTTATATGTAGCTTGTGAAGGCTCCCGAGCCCTGCATAGTTTAGCGTGAGTGTGAGTGACTTGTAGTTACACAAATATACACGTACTTCGAAGAGCTTCCCAGATCCCCTTTGCACTTGGGGATGTTCAGAGAGCCACGGGGGGTGGGGGTGGGGTGGGGGGTGTGCTTGCACAAGCACAAAGGGAAGGCCCAGAGAGTGCTGACGGGATTGACAAACCCAAATAGGGGCATATTTACACTGGAGAGTCAGAACAAGAAACAATGGCCTTCCAAGGGAGAGGGCCTCCCATCTCCCCGCAGTGCCGCACTGGTTCAGAGAAAGGCCCGCACCAGCGTCCCCTGTGAAGTTCAAGTAGGACATGTAGTGTTTAACTGGAGAAAAGTTGTGTGTGTGTTTTTTCTCTTCTCTTTTGGTGACAAAGCATTATACAACAACTTTTTATAGGACGCCAAAGTTCAGACAGACTTTGAAAGACACCTGTAAGAAAACACACGCTAACAAACACCCACTGACACCGTAAGACTGAAGCCCTTTTGTTTTTCCCCCACAGAGCAAGGGGACGGAAGGTGGCCGGCAGCCGGTCTGCTCACAGAGGTGGCACGCCGCTCCCATGTGGCACCCTCCTGCAGTGGCACCCTCTGGGTGCTGGTGCAGAGGCCACGTGTCCACCGGAGTGTGGCGGGACACAGAGGCTGTTCTTCTGGGGCTCTGATGGAAACAGAACAGCCTCAGCCCCCGAGCAGGCGGCCCGCTGCTGGAGGGGTGGCGACTAGCCCAGAGCCGGATTAGAGAGGACAGACACTGGAGTCATGGAAGAGTTCAGAAACCAAAAGCATTACTAAACAGGGGGATTTTGATGTGCTGTTCTTTGGAATTTCTATAATTAAAAAATAAACACAGAACTATTTCATAAGAAAATACATCTTAGTGTGCACTCCAGTGCACAGCGCAGTTGGTAGATGAAAAGTAAAATGCAAAAAAGTACGAAAATACGGTCCTTTAAATGTGGCAATAAAGTTTAGCATACGGATATAAAAACCAATATAGATAAAATAATTGTACAAGTGCAAAAAAATCCCATCACTTGTCCAGAGGAAAGAAAGTGCCAGCTTGCTTGCTCTGAAATACACTTCCCCGAGCCAACGTCCCCGCGCAGAATCGACAGGGGCGGCATCCAAAGCCACCCTCTTAGCGCGCCACGTCCACCAACATTTGTACACACCGAGGACAGGGTCTCGGGTATCCAGCTGTTTCAGCGGGCAACCATCAACTGGTCTGTAAGCTGCTAGGTCACATGGTCACTGGGGGCCTCACGTCTCAGGCACAAGATGTGAAGCCGTGCTCACAGGGCGGACTTCTTGTAGAGGAAGTCAGGCTTGTTTGGGGACCTCCTTCCTCTGCTTCCAGAATCCTCTCTCTCCAAGTCCGGGGTTCTCTGGGCTCCATGGCCCAGGGGCTCACTGTCAGCCAGTCTCCTGCCAGGCCTTTCTCCTGGCGTTTCTGAGCTGCACACCGGGTGGGAAGGTCTGTTAGAGGTCAGCCCAAAAGTCAAGTCGGTTTCTCCTGCCGCCTGGCCCCGGATGTGGGCAGGGCCATGAGCAGTGTTTTCCGGGACTGTGACGGGGAAGGCGGAGCGCTGGAGCGGCTGATGGACGACGTCCAGGCGGATGGCCTCACTGGGCTGTTTGTGGAGAGGCCCGTCGGGGGGCAGTGGGTACTCTCGCCTGGCTGCTTCCTGTTTTTGTGGAGAGGGCTGCCCAGGTAGGTAGGTGGACTTTAAGCCACCTGCTGACGCCTTACTGTGGCTGTACAAATCGGGGCCCTGATGTCCACCTGGTGGCGGGGGAGGGCTCCGCCGGCCGGGAGCAGGGGTCGCAGGTCTGCAGGCAGCACTGGAGAAGTCATAGAAATCTGGGTATTCCTGCGGGTTTTCTCTCGGCTCGGTTTTCCCTTCCAGTGTGTGTTTCTTTTGAGCAGTGTGCGCGTGCCTCTGTGGCACACACGCCAGGTGCTGGGGCGGCCCCGGCGCGGCGTGGGAGAGGGACTGGCTGAGCTCGGTGTCCGCTGCAAGCTCCGGAAGTCGCCTGTCCTTGAGCGACATTGTAGACACGCCCATGGCGATGTCGGGCACCAGGTCATTCAGCACGGGCTGCGTACACTGCAAAGGGAAAAGGCAGGGGCATTAACGGACAGAGGCCCAGGAACCTCGCCTCTTGGTGAAAATAGCGAACTCTGATTGGATGGTGTCTGATTCTAAATGCAGTATGCATCTACTTTTTTTTTTTTTTTACAGTTCTGTTATCTGCTTTGTCTTAAAAAAAAAAAACTAAAAAATTTGTTTAGATTATACATGGCAGAACATAGTTAATTGCATGGATTGTTCCTATAACCCAGGGACATTGATTGCCATCACCCCTACCTCCCTGGTGGAGTTCCTCGCCCTACCCTCTACAGTACATATGGTGGATTTCATGCCGCTGTGGTCAGGTCATTAGATCCCATATAAAGTTCACACGCACCGCATCACGTTAGGAAGTCCTTTTTTTTTTAACCGCTAATGTGAAACTCTCGTTGGAGTTTATGAATGCAGGCATGCTTTTGGCTTACAGATGAGCTCGGAGCAATCGTTTTCGGGGCTGCACGTGCTTCTTAAAAACAAAAGGAAGCCACCACCAGCACTCCCCAGAGAACCAGTGCCAACATGTTGAGAGAGTTCAAGGTTATTGCTTTCCCTGGTTTCCCTGTGTGTCCATTAGTCTGTAACATTTCATGTATACATTATTCTATCATTTAATTTAGTCTTTCATCACCATTTTAGGTTACCATGTAGCATTTTCACCACATTAATGAACTGTGACCTCATCATTCTCTGACGGCTAGAGACACTGAGGATGTCTCCAAGTGTTCAGTGCGCCTTGGTCCTTAGTAACATCCTTGCTTTGCAATATTCTTAAAACAGGTTTTGTACAGCAATGTTACCCAAGGCAACACTTCTTTTGATCTCTCCACTGCTGCTTCCATGAACATTAATTGTGGGTCCAAGACAAAATCCTTGACAACTTCAACCTTTTCTCCATTTTTAATGATGTTATCTATTGGTTCAGTTGTGAAGATTTTGGTAGTCGTAATCCATCCTAAAGGCCCATAGAATCTTTTAAGATCACAACTTGAGGCTTGACATTTTTTGAGTTATTTCAGTTTAAGATATGCCGAGCATGTCAAACAACATAGGAAGTCTTAAAGTCCGTGTATCTGCCAGATCTATTATATAGAGCAGAATTCCACCTCTAATACCGTATAAAACGGGGTATGAAATTTTCTCTTGAATTACTCTATCCCAGCACTGGCTGTGTGACCCAGGGCTCCACCAGTGCTCTGAAGGAGATGGACATGAGCTCCCTGCTCCTTTTCTGAATGGGGACTCTTAGGCTGTCAGGATGATCGTGGCTGTTAGGTGCTGTTGAGTGGGCTCTACTCATAGCAACTCTTCTAACAGCAGAATGAAGCCCTGCCTGGCCCCTTGCTATCCTCACCACTGCTGCAGCCACGTGAAGGGGCCTTCTCTTCTTCACTGCCCTTCTACTTTACAGATGGCTTACTTGGCCTAAAAAGCCCCCTCTGTCCCATGAATTCATTCCGTGAAGTAACTTCTAGAGAGCAGACTAGCACGCGGGCACAGACTCCAGGCATGGATGTGAGCAGGCGGCATGACACTGGCACCTCCATTTATGCCGCCTGTCGTTGCTGTTGTGTGCTCGTAAGAAGTTAAACGAAGGCAGCTCCGCCGGCAACCCCCCCAGTCTCTCTGACGTCCAGTCTCTCTCAAGGGTATGCTTTCAGTGTGTCAAGGCCGCTCACTTTCCGGGCTCTGCTGAAACCCAGGGGATGAGGGGCCAAAGGAGTTGCATTTACTCTCACATAAAATTTACCAAACGGCTCACGTCCATGTGAGATCCGGACATCAAAGAAAGAGGGCAGCGAAAGCAGCGCAGCCACACTGCACATCCATGGGCTCATTCTGACACGTCCCCGGGCAGGACATCCGTGAAGCAAAGCTGAGGGTCAGTGAGAGCAAGTGACAGACACGGCTGTAACAAGGGACACACACACACCAGTGGCCATGAAGCCGGCCGCACAGCAACAATGAAGCGATGACTTACCACTTGTTTCTCAGACGTCCTCGATGCCGAGGCAGCAGCAGCTGCAGCAGCCGCCACGGGTGGCCGCGCCAGCCCCGCAGGGCTCGTACAGTCGGGGGGCACTGCTTTGGCACTCGGCAAGTAGACCGGAGGCGGGGGAGCTTTAGGAGGTGCTCTGGGGCGCAACAGTGAATGGTTGCAGGGGTAGGAAAACGACCTGGAAGGATGCTGACTGGGGGGTCTTTGTTTCCAGCCCACTTTGAGTTGGTTATGGATTGGGGTGGCAGGGGGGTGGTATGGAGGTGGAGGAGGGGGCAGAGGTGGATGGAAGGCCACAAAAGAGTCCAGATCTGTAAACATGGTCTCTGCAGTTGGGGTGCTGTTAACCCGACATCGCCCAGGCTGTTTCACTGTCAAGAGTGGACTCTCATCCCCAAAACGTTCATCAGGAAAAAACTTGTGAGGATTCTAAGAAAGATGAAATAAGTGAATAAATAAAATTAGCAGATTTCTGAGATGGGGCTGTAGGTGCTGACAGACTTACGTGGTTACTGAGAACCGCGCACAGCACGAGGACAGAGTGTGGTTTCCCTAGTCAGGAGTCGAAGGAAAACTACCCTTGATCACTAGCAAGCACGTCAGTGATCTCCTGCCAGATTAGATGCTACTGTAAAACAAATGTTAGAGCCTTAGTCAAATATACCTTCCCTAAAAAATAAAATGAACATTAAACAGCAAAGGGAGAAAAGGTAAAAAACCAAGGATCCTCCTAAAACAGTCTGACAAAATTCTGTCTGAAATAAAGACAAGTTAACAATATTCCTTACACATCTAAAGTGACTAAGCTTGATTATTACTTCCTGACTAGACTTAAAAAATTCCATTTTAATTGTCAATCCATGTTATTGCCTTTGCATCTCATAATTATTAGAAAGAAGTGTTCTTGTTTTTTGGTGGGGGGTGGGGGCAGGCCCCAGGTAGAAACACCTAAACAACAACAACAACACATATTCCTTGATTCTCGTGCTTCCATGGTTTGAGCCCCCACTGACCCAAATTTCTGGTGTGGGATGGGAGGAGGCGGCCAGAAAGTAAAAAAGAGGCATCTGGAAGTTCTCTTAGTATGGTGGGAGGCCCAAAATGGGAGCAGGGAGCAAGCTGGGGGGTGAGAATTTTCTACTTCTCCCGTGGCACTTACAGCAGTCACCATTTACAGGTTTCTTACACGTGGACACCAGACGCACAGCTGTTGAACATACTTCTCTTCTCAACAGTCTATTTTAGAGGTAAGGAGACTGAGGCTCAGAGTGGTTAGGCAACCTGCTCTGAGTTCACCAGCTAGCGAGCAGCAGAGCCAGAACACCCCCAACAGGCTGCTCCGAAGGACTCAACGCTCCTGAGGAATGACTGAGGGCCCTGTTTCCACCCCGCACAGCGCTGCTCCCTACCTGCAAGAGCTCTGCGGCGGCGTCTGCTAGCCCAAACTCCCTCAACACGCGGATCTGGATCTCGTAGCTGACGGTGGCGCCCTCCCCGCAGTTCAGTGCGTAGGCCCGCTGCACCTGCTCGGTGTGCCGGAGCTCCTGCAGGCGCCTGACCATGTCCTTCATCGTGAGCAGCCGAGGGACTACACGGAGCCAGCCAGAGCAGGCAAGACACAGACGTTACACAAGCCCACCCGAGAGCACAGAACAGTTTTAACTAGCATGTGTTTCGCATCAGAATCGCTTACAATAATTATGAAAGTATTTTAATTTCTTGGCAACTTGATAATTTGTGTGCATCTGATTAAAAAATAAATTATTATGTTGTTGACAATATCCACCAGTTCAACTGTTTCCACATGGACATTTTCCCGACACTCCTTACATTCTCGGAGCTGCGCACCTCCTCTTCCCGCCTCCTTTTCTCAGGGAGCCCCTCCACTAACATAAACTTGGCCCCCTTGTCACTGTGAGGCTTTATAGGAGTCATTCCTTTATTCAAAGACACGTCTGAGTCGGCTGTGTGGGGAGCTGGCCCTGAGTCGGCAGAGCAAAGCGTGGTCCCTGTCCCCCAGGGGGTTGGGCAGCATGGCACTGACTCTGCCCAGCCCAGAGGGCATCAGGAAAGGCTCTGCGAGGCGGCGGGGACAGAGTGCACTCTGATGAGAAGAAAGCAGCCAGACAGAGCACGCAAGATGGATGTGTTCAGTGGGAGAGCAAGGGACACGTAGACAGTGGAGCTTCAGTGTGGGGTTCCTACGTCCAAGGAGGAAGAGTGTTAACAGAGAAAGAGGGGCAGGGGCAGAGTGAAAAAGAGCAAGAGCGTCAGTTCGTTGGACTGGCATGGTGGCTGCCACATGGGTTCCAGCCCAGCACAATTATGGACTGGCCAGCGTGTCATTCTACTGAGCCCAGGAGGGGGATCAACTGGATGGCACCCAGTGACAACAACAACACGGTGTCTGGAAGAGGAGTTTAAAATGGTGTCACTACTGTCGCTGGCTGTCTCCCACCGACAGTGGCAGGGCTGAGTGGACGAGCTAGAGACTGTATTGAGCGCAAGGCCGGCAGTCTGTACTGTTTGGCCCTGACACAAGCAGTTTGCCGATCTCTGGAGTAGAGACCAGACTAGGAGTAAGAGTAGAGGCAGGACACCAGTGCAGAGGCAGTCACCACCTGACAACCCCGCAGGTGGCACTGAGGCTTCTAATAGCAGGGCTGAAGAAGGGGTCGGAGCCTAGAGATTTTGGCTGGGTAGGCTGACTGGCGTGGTGATGGTTCATTTTGGGTAGAAGGGACACCACTGTCTAAGCTCTTACTGCACAGGCAAACAACTCGGTGCTTCTTCAAGTGCTCACAACAGCTCTAGAAAGAAGATACAATCACCCTTTCTAAGATGAGGACATGAACGCTGAGGGAGGCAAGCAGCTTTGCAAAGCCACACAGATCAGGAGGTAGGACTAGGTTATCAGCCGGAGCTCTGCAGCCTGTACTGAGGTGCAGCGGCAAAGAAGAGCGAAGGCCACAAGAGGGCAGCAGAGCAGGCCACGTCGTCCTCACAACTACAAGAAGACAAGGCTTTTTTCAGCAAGCTGCACTGTGAGCATCTTTGGGTTTTGAGATTCTGTTCTAAAGATAAATTATGCTAATAGTCAATGTATTAACCTCAAGCCCATGAAAACAATGCAAATCAAAATTACAAAATCTGCACAAGTTTTCTAAAGTACAACTTTTCCTATTATTTTTCATATTTGAAGTATACACGTAGGGGGCCAAATGTGGGAAGGAACAACGGATCAAAGACATCAGTCTCAATATACAACTGTGCTTAACACAATGGATGGATGGATGGTGGTAAGAGTTGTGCGAGCCCCCAATAAAATGATTTGGAAAAAAAAAGATTAGTCTCTGATTAAAATGCATGTGGTTCAATGAAAAGTTCTAGTATGTCTTTTACTTATTCTTAATTGGAAGATAAATTGGAAGGCAGAAAATAAATGGTGTGTTGATTTTTATTTTCAACCTTGTACTGGTAATTGGGAAAGCTAGAACTCTGAACATACCACGGTCTGCCAGGAGAGCGGAGAGGTAGAGCCACCGTGCTCGGTAAAGAAGGCGGCCGTGAGAAAGCAGCAGCCCCTCCTTAGATAGACTGGCACATGGCTGCAACGATGGGCTCACACATAATGCAATTGTGAGGATTTAGAAACTTTAGAAACTGACGCTGGGGTCTCCTCTGCTCAGAAAGCTTAGGGCACAGCAGGGGACAAGTGCCCCAGAGTAATGACAGAGGCTGAGACTACAGCGAACTCCCCAGAGCGACCTTGGGAAACCAGGAAACCAACAGGCATCTCAGTTTTTGAGGCCCATGTCAATTCAAAGTACCTGACTGAGTTATATATTCATTATCACCTTCTCAGTGGGTCCTTTAAGAAATATCCTACAATGATAAAACAAAATCATAACTCTTGATTTTTCTAAACCAGTAATGCTCAACAGGGCATAACTGGAATTATCTAGGAACATTTCTAGTTGTCACTAGGGAGGGCAGCTAGTAAGTAAGTAAGAGACCCTGCTGGACATCCCCCACAAACGGCTCTTCCTAATCCTACAGCCTGAATCTTCTCCACTTGACTGTAAGTTTACTGCACTGTGATGCTTTGTGTGTAGCTGTGATATTGGAAGCTAGGCCATTGGTATTTCAAATATCAGCAGGGTCACCCAATGTGGATACATTTTAGCAGACGAGGAAGAAGGAAGAGGTGGATTAGCCGCCGGAAGTTAAGCTGCCGGAAGTTAAGCTGCTCGCTATGTAACAGTGGCTGATGAAGGGCCAGATGATGAGCCCACAGGTGGGAAGGACTCACAATTCAACCAGGGAAGAGCTGCCTCCCCAAAGCCGTGCTGCCTTTCATAATGTGGGTGGAGCATAGCTTTTAGACCTTCATTTGTTGATCCGACACAACTCAGAATTAGAAGAAATGGCTACAAGCATCCATTAATAATTGCAACTTGGAATGTATGAAGTCTGAAACTAGAAAAATTAGAAGTCACCGATAAAGAAATACAGTGCATAGACTGATGGCCTAGGCCTTAGTGAGCTCAAATGGGCTGGGGTTGGCCATTTTGAGTGGGGCAATCATAGGACTTATTATGCAAAGAATGACAAGTTTAAGAGGAATGATGCTGTACTCATTGTTAAAGGGAACATTAAAGATCTGTCATGATCTCGACAGACCATGCACAGGAAGCTCAAGCTCAGGAAGAGCTGTGAGGCGGGTACGTGACCAGGCAGTGTGTCCATCTGTCATGTGGCATCAAGTCGCCAAGGGTTGCCACCTAACAACAACATTTTGAAGTAAAATGTTGTGTGTGAACCATCCATAGAACTGTTATTCAAATTTTCATACTGACTACTAAAGCTAGTGAAGAAATTGGAGCGTTCCACCAACTTCCGCCTGAAATTGATCAAACTTGCAGTTAAGATGCAAGGGTAATTACTGGTGACTCGGGTGGAAAAGTTGGAAACAAAGAGGAAGGAAGTACAACTTTGGTGGTGATAATGCAGCTGGGATCTCATGGTAGGATTTTGTGAGACCAACGATGTCTTCATTGCAGATACTTTTACTTTGCACATGGACCTTCCCCAATGGAACACACACAGGTATCAAAGTGACTAACTACATCTGTGGGAAGAGACAACGGAACAGTTCAGTATCATGAGCTAAAGCAAGGCCAGGGGCTGAGTATGGAACAGACTATCAATTGCTCATATACAAGTTCAGGTTAAAGCTTAAGGAAAAAAAAAATCCAAGTCCCTAAGTGTCAAAAGACAACCTTCAGTACATCCCCTCTGATTGAGAGGCCATCTCAAGAAGACGTCTGTGTGCAAATCATTGCTTGATTGATGGAAGAGGCATTAAAAGAAGATGGAAGGAATACAACCAGTGGACCCAAAGAGCTGGTGACTATCTGACCATTTCAAAAGGCCGCAGGTGATCAGCGCTAGTGCTCCTGAAGAGAGAAGGGGAAGCTGAAGAGAGAAGATCTCGGCCAACACGAGGCTTCGGGAATGCATGGACTTCCAATGAAAGCGTCCCAAGGAGCTGAGAAGCACTGGAAACACTCTTTAGTCTCTACCAAGAAATCAAGAAGACAACTACCTGGTCAACGAGAAGAGATCCATACTTGTGCCTATCACAAACAAAAACGGCCTAATTAAGTGTGGAAATGATGGAAAAATATCATTAATATCACACAGAGGTAAAACTTTGCAGACCATTCAACAATGGTTGCAGCAGGCTATTGACAGGGAGATGTCAGAGTTTCTGGCTGGATTCAGAAAAAGATGAAACGAGGGACATCACTGCTGATGTCAAGTGTAAGTTGGCTGAAAGGATAGGAATTCCAGACACTCAGCTCCGCTGTGTGTCCAACAAAACGACAGGGCTTACTGCATGGCTTAAAATCAGGAAAGGTGTGCCAGGGTGGTGTTCTTTCACCATACTAACTTTATTTGTATTGTGAGCAAATAATCTGGAGGAAGGCTCATGTAAGAGCCAGCGAGATACAGGAGCCACCAACTGTCTTACTGAAGAGGGCTTGCGGCATTTGCTGATGAAGACCCACGACTACAACTTTCAGCATTAATACAGATTACAACTCAATGTAAAAAACAAACAAACAGGGGAGGGGGGAAAATGAGCTGATACCAACCGCTCAAGTAGAAAGAAAATGCTTTGAAAATGATGGTGGCAACACATGTACAAATGTGCTTGACACAATGGATGGATGGATGGATTGTGATAAGAGCTGTACGAGCCCCCAATAAAATGATTTAAACAAACAAACAAATAGAAATCCTGACAATTGGACCAACAGAGGAGATCATGGTAAATGGAGAAAAGATTGACGCTTTTAAAGATTTCATGTTACTCCGACCCACAATTAACATCCATAGAAGGAAATGTCAAGAACTCAAACAATGTACTGCATTGAGCAAATCTGGGTGAAGGGATATCTTTAAAGTATCCAAGAGCAAAGCCATCATTTTGAGAGCCAAAGGTGTGTCTGACTCAAGTCATGGTATTTTTAATCACCTTATATATGCTGATGCATGTGGAAGTTGGACAACAATTGAGGACCCAAGAATCGATACATTTGGATTATGGTGCTAGAGAGGAACACTGAAAGTACCATGAACTGCCAGAAGAAAAGACATATATGTCTTGAAAGTACAACAGAATGTTCTCAGGTACTTTGGTCATGTTATCAGGAGGGCACGCCTCTAGAAAAGGGTATATCATTCATTGGTAAACTAAAGGGTCAAAAACAAAACCCCACACTCACTGCCATCGAGTCAATGCTGACTTATAGTGTCCCCTGTGGGTTTCTGAGACGGTAACTTTTTATGTGACTGGGAAGCCCAGTCTGTCTCCCTCGGAGCTGCTGGAGCTTTAGAACTGCCAACCATGTGGATTGCAGCCCCAAGCTAACCATTACACCACCAGAGCTCCTTGCAGGGTCAAAGAAAGAGAGGAAAACCCTCATGAGATGGACTGACACTGGCCGCAACAACGGGCACAAACATAATCATCGTGAGGGTGGCGCAGCAGCAGGTGGGTTTGGCTGTTGTACACAGGCTGCTGTGAGTCAGAACTGACTCAACGGCAACTAACAACATCAACAAAGGCTACTGCGAGCCCTAGTGACCCAGGGGTGGCTACCAACCCAGAGTTTGCAATTCGAGATGTGAGAGTCTGACTGCTTTAGAGATAGGAAGGTGCAGTTAGCTCTACCTTGGCTCCACAGGGTAGTTAAGAGTCAGATCTACTTGAAGCTGATGGGTTTTGGTTATGTCACTAGAGACTGGGTTGAAAAACTGCTCTGAACTGAAGAACCACATGCATTTGTTAATGTAACACAAATTATAAAACAAAACTCTTGGCTTGGAAAAGCAGAGAAAAAGGCATAATGAGCAATCACAAAAAAAGGTAATGTTATTCATGCAAATATAAACAGCTGATGAAAAGCTACGGCCTTACCTGGAATTTCATTGGCTACAACTGATGGAGGGCTTGACTGGTTACTGCTGATCTGCTGGTGGCTGATCATGTGACAACACTGGGGCACAGCGTTACTGACCATATACAGTGTGTCGGGTACATTGGACATTCTAACCATTCGCAAGCGCACAAGATCGGTTTGTTCCACCATCATCTCATCTAGCACTGACTGAAACAATAAGTCAGTATTAACAGAGTTAAGTCAGTCGATTGCCTTCATCATATAGAACGAGCGTTTGTTTACTGCCTCAAGTTTACAAGGTCAAAAATTAGTGGGGAAGGCAGAAAGTACTTCTACGTTTTCATTAAAAAAAAATCTTTATAATGATTTGGAGCATCTTTGAAAAGAAACAATACTCTGAAAAATTCACTTTTAATCAATGGATTTGAAATTTGATGGGAGGGGTATTTATCAGAAATAAATTATACACAAAAATATTACAAAAACGGCAATGTGTACATGTGTTAAAATCAGATCATGTAGGAAAATGCTCAAAATACAAGAGTAACATTAAATTAGCGACTTTTAAATGAACTAAATTTTGTTAAATTAGTCCCAGCCAAACCTATGAAACAAATCCCAGAACGGTCAAATTTAAACAATGTACCAACACTGTTCACACTCATTGGGGACGGAGGTTCACCTACATGGGTAAGGGCAGAGCCATCTGAGAAATACGGCTCTTCCACTGAAGACTGTCTGACTAGCTTTCCATAGTCCCATTTGAAGACAAAGGAGAAGAAAGCTAAACAGGCCTTTCAACACCCCATCAACCTTCTGGGAAGGCCTCCAGCTGTCTGAGTGATGGGGTATTGAATCTATTTCAGGAAGGCCACACACAACCATTCTGGTTTTTCTCTTATTAGTTTTAGAATTATTTAAAATGCCAACTACGCAGTAAGAGTTAAATACCTATTCAATTAAATAGGGTAAACTTGCCTCAAATCCTTTCACAGATTAAGAGAACTTCAAAATACTCATCATCTGTTGTTAATTTTCTTTTCAGGAGTCTTTAGAAGCCTTCTTGTTACTAGTTAGAAACCAGGCTTCTTTACATTCGTTGAGTTTAGTAACTCTCTTTCCTTTTCTAAGTTATTATCCCTTGAACATAAACTCCCTGACTTCTAAGGTTCCTATTTATTCTTTTGAGTTGCTGTTATTAATTTGATTGCACTTGAGATCATTCTGAAAGCATCATATTCAAGGCAGACTTTTTTTTTTTTTTTACTGGTTAACTTATTGTTTGGTGTTATGAGGTGTTCGGGGGAATCATCTACCCTCCGTGACTGCATAAAATCTAGAATCTGGTGCTTTGTTCCTCATCTTTTCACCAGGATTTTCCTATGGAATTTTTTATTCAAAATGTTCAATGATAGTAACAGGGCACCATTCAGTTTTGGTCTCATGTCAAAAAAGGGAGTTGTTCATGGAGGTAATCAGCCACACATTCTATCTCTCCCTATTTCTGACTCTCCTTCTTCGACTGTTTCAGGTGAATCGACTCCAACTGTGCTTTGGGTGGCCACTTGTACATTTTTAAGTCCCGGAGCACTATGCAACAAACTTAGAAGGTAAGAACAGAAGCACTGAACACTTATTAAGGCCAATTAACTGGAGGTCCCATGAAACCTTAAACCAAGGCACCAGCTCCCAAAGAGGTACTCGGTTGTACATAAGCAACCTCAGCAGTGACTCTTTTTATTTATTTATTTTTTTGGAGGGGGTGGAGGGGAGAAAAAGGTCAAATATATTAAACTAGAAACTCTTGACAAAATTAGGAATTTTAAATTTAATTCTACATCAAATTGTTTTGTATTTTTGTTTTGGAAAAGTCAATTATTTCTGACTTCCAAAGACTGGTCAGTTTCTATGTAAGAATCTAATAAAAACAGAATTTCATTTCCCTATTATATTTTCTTAGCAAATTCCTTATGTTATAACAAGCCTCCATTTTTGTCTTAATTTCAAGACTTATTTCAAAACCAAGCACAATTCTCAAGATACAGCCGTTATAAAAACAGGTTTCAGGAAGTCCTGCTTCTCTTTACGATTACTAAAGCTGACAAAATGCGTTCTCATTTTCCCAATCACCAACACCACAGAATACTTAAAATCATGTGGTAAACAGAGACATTTCCCCCTAAGTTAACAATCTGCAAGGTAACCACAATGAGAAAAACATAAAAATGTATTTTAACATGACCTAAGCTTTAAAAACATTTGGTAATTCAACATTTCCCAAACTATTCTGTTAGAGGTCAAACAAGGATTTACTTCCACTTTCCATTTTGGTAGTTGCTTAGGCTATTTCCAAATATTTTACACACCACAATAAAAAATGCTGTGCACAGGGTCTGTAATAAAGGAGGCTAGTATTCTAACAAGGTTGATTACCTTTGATTCTTCCACATAGGGGGAGAAGAGTCGCGGGCGAACATATATGCCAGCATTTTTTTGCCGTAGCCAGGCATTTGACTTTCCGCCTTCCGTTGTAGGAAGCATATCTGATGGAGGAGTACTAATTAAGCCTCTTTTCATCTGAAAGGCAACAAGGTTAAATACATAACTAGGCTACAGACTTGTGTAAATTCTAAAAATTATTGAACAGTGACACCAGGGACGTACACCTCACTAGAACAGACCACACGAGATCAAGGGCAGCACGTGTCCAGGGACACAGCTCACAGCTTCCACTTGTTGTCAGCTTGCTGCACTGTGGTGGCTTATGCGTTGCTATGGTGCTGGGACCTATGCTACCAATATGACAAATATTGGTAGGGTAGGGCTACTCGCCCACAGAAGACAGGTTTTCAGAGGAGCTTCCAGGCTACTAACAGACCAGGAAGAAGGAATAAGGCTCATCACTTCTGAGAGATTAACCACTGAAAATCTTATGAGCAGCACTGAAACACTGTCAGATATAGTATGTGGAACAAAGCTTTTGTGACCTTCATGTGCTGATGGGTCATGACGTAAAATGAGGAGAAACAGCTGCAAACATGCATCAATAACCAGAACATGGGATGTACAGAGGGCAAGTCTTGGAAAATTGAAAGTTGTCAACATGAAATAGAATGCTTAAAGATGCTAGGTGACGCAGGCCTGTCTGGATAGGACAGGCTGGATGAACAATCTGGAGGTAAAAACAACGGGACTGACAGTTCCGG